TGAGTGTCAATTTAACGTTAACCATAAAACGTTAATTTATTAAAAGCAAGCAATATTGTGCGAGTGGTAAAGAAATGGAATTGGCAGATTCGCAGATACCTAACTGTTTTTCGAGAGTATGGGAAAAAACGTGAAAAAAAGAGTGTGTGAGGAAAAAAGAGAGTAATAAATGAAAAAAAAATGAGAAAAGGTGCAATATTTATTCAGAGAGAGGAGAGAGAGGGAGAGAGTAAGTGAGTAAGAGAGAAAAAGGGGAGAGAGTGAGTAAGTGAGTAAAAGAGAAAGAAAAAGAGAGAGGGGAGAGAGGAAGAAAGACAGAGAGGAGAGAGAGAGAGAGAGAGAGAGTGAACGAGTGAGTGAGCAAGAGAAAGAGAGAGAGGGAGAGATTATGCTTGCATGTTAACTACACTCTGCAATAGAAATAATTTTTGCAGGACCCAAAACTTTCACTATCTTCGCTCCAACGGACTCTGCTTTCGAATCAGCGGCTAAAGATGGAACACCGGTTTGGACAGAAACAGACGGACCGGAAGCTGCGAAAACGATCATTTCGAGACACGTAATGCCATCAACCCTCTACACAGCGGGAATGAGATATTATTTGCAAAAAGATACCCTTCGTCCTCAGTCGCCAGTTCATATTCACAAAAATGGAGGTAAGTAAAAAAGAAATTGCAGAATACAAGAAGAAAAAGATAGTAAAAGAATACATACTTAATCCTTTCGTTAACAAACGTGACTATAGTCACACGACGTAATTTATATTTCTGAAACAACATTTTTCTAGAAATTTTTATCGAGTAGGTATGTTTGTTTTCTCCGCCAGTGTTACGTCTGTTATTATGCAAATAGACAATTACTTTAAGAAATTATATTAGGAACGTTATTAATTGACCCTGCTTGCAGTACATGCATGTATACATACAGACGCTATTTAGCAGAGATTTCTCTCATTGCCAGATGTTACAATTACGGTCGGTAACCAAGAGAAAATAACTGAACGAAATTCATGCAATAATCTAATGTTTGAATACATCATTTTTCAGACAAGTCCAAATTAGTTTATCTATAAACATAATCCACATAATTTTTCTACTTTTGTCTAAAAAAAAAATTGAAAAAATTTAGTTTTATGCAATGTTCAACAAAGTTATACTAACTATTAAAAAATGTTATTTCTCTCTTTATCTCTTTATCAGTTGATAATATTTTGAACAACGAACTGGTAATGAAAATATTGATTAATCATCAGGTGGTAAGGTCGAGCACTTGATTTCCTTGTTCGACTTCTGTCAATTCAGTGAAAGATAACGTACTTACGCCGGTATGTGATACATTTATATTCAGAAAAAGTGTAAATTTTCTTTTCATAAGAATTGCCGTTTGTCACGTAAATCTTGAAAAATCAGCGTCCTACTAATCTACTTGTTCGTTTACCATTGATCCCCCCACTTCGTAATTAACACTCCCTTTCGCGCCACGCCATAAAATTCATAAAAATATTTACAACATTTCAAGATACAAGATACATTAATGTATACTTAATACACAATAAGCTCCACCTAATTTTACCGTACGAAATAATTATCATACTTCCAAAACTTAGATATATTTGAAAAAGATTATATAACTGTACACTAATAATAAATCGTTAATTCAAATAACAAGAGAAATCGGTTTGAATATGTCTAGAACAATCTTTTTAACGACTGAAGTGTTTTAGCTAGTTAAATTAAATTTCGGATAACAATTATTATTAGTTAATTTTACAAAATTATTTACATAAATATGTCAAATAAAGTATTGCAAATGAGAGGGTAAATTGTATCAAAATAACCTCTTCTTTGACAGTATTAAAAAATTAAGAAAGGGTTTACAATGCGTTTATAATTACTTACAGATTAATTGTTTTTCCTTCAATAACATTCCTAGAAAGAGACTTTGCGTAGCAAAACATGATAAACTGCTTCCTATGCTGTTCCAGGTCGAGTACGAGTAAACGAGGTACATGTCGTAACACATAATGTACCAGCAATAAATGGAGTTTTACACGCAATTGACGGAGTACTATAAGAACACAACACCACCTAAATAGATCATTCGTTGTGAGATGTAACGCGTTTTACAGCAAAATTCATACTTCAATCCAAAAAAACACGAAACTTATTTATGTCTCTGTACTTGCTGTTTCTTTGCAATTCGTGAGAGAAAAATATTATGATCATTGCAAGAAAAGTACTTACTAGTCTATTAGTATTCTATTTTTTAGAAAAAAAATTAATTTGATAATAAAATAACATTTCAAATTGAAATAATAAATTTTTTTAAATTTACAAATTATTATGGTAAATCGTAAAACAAATTGAAAATGATTTAAAACATTATTTTGTTAGAAAGACTGCAACTTCTACAAAACTTTTAGAAGTTGTGATGTCCAATGAGGAATCAGTAAAACAGTTATGTAAGAAGAATCTTAAAGTACTTAAAATATTCGTGTTGTTTATATTGTATTCTTTTTAAAATTGATTATAAAATTGAAGCAAATTTCAATTGAAGAAAATGCGTACTTATCTTTAAAGAGAAGTAACAACAAATCTCTGCGACTATAATAATTTCAACAATAACAATAAGTCGACGAGATTTGCCATAGATATTGCTAAATTACACGAAGAAAAAATAACGAGGCTTCCTTTAAGGCATATATTTACATGTAGAAAAACTAATTTATGTAATATAGATGTTATTTATGTAATATGTTGTTTGTTCGTGCTGCTCGAGATATACAGGTGTGAAAAATTACCTAATTGTATAGAGTAGTAACATAATACCATGATTAGTATTATTGTATTGCGTATTATTTTATAAATAAATGTACATTACGTTTTTCCATAAACTATTATCTTTTATAGTTACTTTCATTATTTAATTAATTACATTTAACAAACTAACTAAACAAATAAAATACGACAAAATAAATTTTTAATATTTTTTATGTGGTCATCTCTCGAAATTTTTCATATTCTTTTTTTCATTTCTTTTATATATTCAAAAAATGACTTACTACAAATTTTTATTATGAACCTAACAACTAGCAATTTTTTTCAGACTGTTGTATTCTAAGAGACAGGTACATAAGCGGAGAAAGTTTAACAAACGGAAACACTTATCAATCTAGACCGCAAAGACTTTCCCTGCAAATTGTCAATAGCTACTAAAGTGAATTTATGTTATCTTTGAAGACCACCTAAGTAGCTACCTTAAACCACTGCCCTCGTGAATCTAACACCAACTCGACGAGCCCCCAGAGAAGAGCTGAAAAAATATCTGTGTAAACGTCCCCAGACAACTAGAAGCAGAGCGGGAATTCCGCAAAACCACCTCTAGCTTGGCTTGAAAGACTGGCCATTCTATGGTACCATTAAATACATGATCAGTGAGATGATCGTGGTGAACCGTACACTACTCTCAGATGAGAAACCTTACACCTCTCGACTCTGGTCCATCAGCGTAATGTACGAATAACGAATAATTCGAAGAACAAATAAAAGAGCAAAAAATTGATTTATTTGTTATTCGCAAATATCTGTACTAAATAATAT